AGAAAGAAAGAAAGAAAGAAAGAAAGAAAGAAAGAAAGAAAGAAAGAAAGAAAGAAAGAAAGAAAGAAAGAAAGAAAGAAAGAAAGAAAGAAAGAGAAAGAAAGAAAAGAAAGAGACTGACTGTATTTCTTGCCTAGCCCATGTAAGGTGCAAGTCCTATGTGGTACCGAGTTTCCCAGTTCAGTGAACAGCACAGGGTACCTGGAAGCAGAGAGGATGCAGGATGGCACACATGCCACTCATGGATGGCATTCAGCCACAGGTTTTACCACAGGCAGAAGAGTCTGCAAGTCCTCTCTGAAAACTGCTGCAGGTATTAAGTTCTGCTGTCATTTCATAATCCAAGCTGAAAGACTTTTTTTCTCCATGATGTAATTGAGACACACATATTAGACTGGTTTATACAAAAATGATGAGCCAGGGACTCTCTGTGGAGCTACTCCTTTGCATATTTTTTTCTTATTCGTTGTTGCAGAAGATCTTTGGGACCATTAAAAATATTAATCTCAATAAAGTAAATGTGCATGTCAAAACAAATCTGAAGAGTTTCAATGGAGACTATTTGGCTTTTGGGATCTGAGATCCCACAGCTTGTTTAGATGAAACCCTTTCTCATTCCAACCACTGCACTAAGTTACTGTGAACAACTGAAGGACAAATGGCAGAAAGAAGATGAAAAAGAAATTTATAAAATGATCCCTCACATTGCCACACTAAATCAGGACCACCTGCCTAGCTAATATTTGCCTTATACTGAAGTCTCATAGTTCCAATCAAAGTCAAGGTCCCCCTGCGACCGTCACTGTGCTCCCGTTACTGAGCGGCGTTCCCACGTGAAAGACCCCATGGTCTGCCTGGACAACACTGGGAAAATGGGAGGGGAGGAAAGAAAAWGCTCAGGGGAACTTGTCTGCCTTCATGCTGGCAGGAAGAGACCCTAAATCTTTAGCCATCGATGCAGCAAAGAGGAGCACGTAGGCAGCAGTTTGGAAATATTTCAAAGGGTTTTAAAAGTGTTAGTTATTGCACGTAGTAATTTTGATTTCCCACTAGCATTTAGGGAATGATTACCAAATTTCAGAAAGCCAAGCTGCAGCCTTTGGAATTTATTAACTCATAAAAGCCTACCAAACCTCAACACTGAGATACTGGCAACACCCACAAGAAATCTAACCCTCTGAGTCAGCCAGGAGAGGTTTCCAAGGCTGCACTGGTAACCTGCTTCACTTCTAAACATCCAGCTCTTGTTTGAAAACTGGGTGCCTCAATGGCTCCTAAAACATCAGCATTTTGACCATACTCCTCTGTTTTGGAAGGAGAMGTAAGTTTGAGAATTAATATCCAAAATAATATGCCACCATAATAAACACCAGAAAAGCATGGCCTCCTGAGTTTATTTAAAATCTAACACTAAATCTAACTCCCTGAATACTCCAGTGGGTGTATATAAATAACACCAGCAAGAGCTATAAGCACTGTGTATCCCCAGACTTGTGACAAATCTTCCCAACAGAGGGATGAACCCCATGTTTGCAGTGGAAAGCCATAAATCCCACCACAAAWTGTCTGCGCCGGCCATCTCACGCGCCAGGCTCGCTGAACGCTGATTCCTGMGCTGTAGGGATGGAGAGGTGCTGTGTATGGGTGAGACTCACGCCTGCTTCTGCAGGATAGCAGCACTGTGAGAGTCCATGGACCTGCCACCTGTATGCCCAAAGCACAACCAGGCTCCTTGAGGGCAAGGACCGACCGTCAAAACYTCTGGAAATAAGAATCTGGCTAAACACTGGCAGCAAAAGTTTCATGCAGATTGCCAGCAGAAACTACCTCTGCCGGAGAGAGCAGCAGAAAATGATCCCATAGCCTGCCTTTCTCAAATCTCAGTTATTAAAGCTCATGGTCTGTAAATTAACCTCCATTCTGATTGTGCAAAGATCATGCCATTGTTCAGCAAAAAAAAAGGAGCAGAAAGAGCCATATCTGGAAAACTGCAACCAGCAGCCTAATATATAACATCTGCCCGCTGTTTGTTTCTGAACAGGGCTGAGGGAAGAGATGCAGATTCTAACAAAAATTTACAAGTAGGGGCAGTTTATACATTGTTCATGCTCAGGATGAAGAGCCACTGTGGAGAGAAAGGCAAAAAATGGGAGCAAGGCTAATTTAAAGTCTTAGRAGAACAAAGCTGGCATCTAGTAGGGCCTTACAGCGGGGCTGTGGAAGAGGCTGAAACAAAGAGATCATCACTACCTTAGTGGAAGAGAAGGGGAGAGGTGAAAGTTACTCACTAGTAATACTGTGATTCTATTTCATAGAATAACTTTAGCAGAAAAAAAGCAACCATCTTATCCAATTCTCTGGCATACTGACACCCACAAGGACAGAAATATTTCAGAAGTAGAGAGAGAGTGAGGATCCCAMAACCAAATCTTCTCTAGACACAAAGTTTTCCCTTGCACTCTAAAGGAAGTTTGCAGAGGAGAGAGATTGTAGAGGAATAGATGGTGAACCATGAAGACTTTTCCACTGCTAACTTCTCACTTGTAAGAAAATCAGTATATAAAATGGATAAACAGAATCTATTTCTTTATGCATTGAAGACACTCACTTCATCTGATTTATTGTCATCCAATGGAAATGCTTTGAGTAAAGGGATGCACTATCAAGAAATGCATTCTGCTAGAAAAGGCTTGAGTTTGAAATTAAATCCTGTGCTAAACTTTTCAAGAAGTATCTACCTTCACTGAAGTCTTTTCATGGCCCTGCTTATTTCTACTTTAAACTTCTCATTTATTGTACTTTAAGCCCCATCAGTGAATGTAAATGGGGTTTCACTATACGTTTAGTGCATTCAAGCATTCTTTGTTACAGTTCCCACCCTGCCGCATTATGTGAGCTCTGCCACGGAAGTCCAGCAGTCGGTTTGTTTTCTGCTATTAATAAAAGAACCTACTTTTCCCCACTTCTTTGAAGAAGTTGAAAGGGCTACATGTTAGAGGGGGAGGTGGTGGGGAACAGACTGTGGTGTAATCCCCAAACGCAAATGCTGTCTAGATTAGAAACCTCCCTGAAGAAAATTTACAAATGCTAAGACTGTGCTTTTTGTGTGATGAACACTAGAGCAATAACTTAGCCACATACTGGGTTCTGCCTAATRCTTAGGGAGCCTACTAGGTGAAAAGAATTAAATGAAAAAAAAATCTTCCAGTTGGCTCTGTGCCGATGCCATCCAAGCCTTTCGGTATCCAGYGACTTACTAATGCAACTATTTTCAGATGTATTCCATCACTGAGGTATCTTAATATAATACTTAGGAATCTGTTAAAATAATAATAACAAACACACAAATGGGATTTACACATTGCCAGTGTTTTTACATAGCCCAGGAAAAGCTTAATTAAAGGGGTGGGACATGTCTCTGCTGAATAGCTGTTTTTCCTTCATACCTTCCCATGCATGACACGCACACATCCAAGAAAAGAAGTTGGGGGTGGTGGTGGTGGAAGAAAACCACCCAAAACCAAAACCAAAATTACCAACCCTGAACTACTCAGCACGACCTTGTTGATTTGCTTGGCCTTTTAAATAAATGAACACACTCCTTGTAGAGAATCACAGCCCCAGTGCAACAGCTAAGGAGTAAAAGAAAAGCACAGAATCTTATCTGCCTTGTTCCCCATAGGATACTCATAATGCTCTAACTATCATTACCGTATCTAGTTTATCCCACAATTACAACTAATCCTTAACTCCAAAATAAGTAGGAACAGGCGTAAAGATCGCACTTTTGAGAGCCTACCAGATAAACTTTAGTCTCTAATCAACAGGAAGATTCTGCGATTAATTTTAAATCCTACTTAATAGGTTAAGGATATTTTTAAAGATGAAATAATTTTATCAGTGTTGATCTTATTAATCTGACATTCACTTACTCGCTAAGGCTTCCATACTCCATCCACTTGTTGCTACTCAGGCACTGCAAGTGAAGCACATCAATCAATAGAGCTGGATTCTGGTCAGAATATAACTCACCATAAGAATCACTTTAGTGTTGCCAAGGAGTGCAACAACGCAGCATTCAACAAACTCTGAAGATGCCTATTATAATCATCAAACAATGAAAAAATTTAACAAGGTGATGAGTGCCTCAGATACATTGTTTGGACAAAACCACTTCAAATGAACATAATAAAATAAATCTACTTTTAAGTGAGTGATACAGTTTCACCTGGCATTTTTATAGTATTCCAATATGTTTTTTTTCTATTGTGCGACTACCTAGCTAGTTAGAGACCTCAGACAGCAGTCATTCTTTTTTGGGGTTTTTTTTCTTTTTTTTTTTTTTTTTTTTTTTTTTTTTTTTTTTTTTTTCGTAGGCTACAGTTGGTCCCTAAGAGGAGATGACTGCCTTTCAGTGTGAAATTATGTACCCAGTCAGGAACTGAGCATAATCATCACACGGGCAAATCAAAATGATGGCTACATTTACTGCCTACAGAAATTTCTGCTGCACTGCATATTAACACACTGAAAATGTTGTGTGAGCTTATCGTGGATGTGCYGATTTTCATTACCCATGGAAATGCAGAACATCTTCTGTTAAACCTCATTGACATTTTTCATCAAATGAATAGAGCAATGCCCTGAAATGTGATAATTGTAGATTCTTGTTATACAACTTCGAGTAAAATATTCTTCCCTCTAATTCCAACAGTAATTAACTTGGATTGGAATTCCCTTGACTCATGTAACAGTCTTCAGCACTGTATTAATGGATCCTTGTGTTTATATGGCTGGAAAGGAATCCTGTCCCATATGTGTGATAGTATATGAAGGTGCTAAATACTTTCAGGTTCATGAAAAGAATTGATCAAATCACCCCAGCTTGAGCTATGAGCTTTTTTTTTTTTTTTTTTTTTACATTGTTTGGGTTAAATATGAAGTGGTAAATTGTTGAAACCTAAAATGCCTCAAAAATGAAGCTCCAGGAAATCGTTGCATCTCCCATGAAGACTAAAAATTAAAGTAGACAATTATCATAATAATAACTCAATTGTACATGGCAGACAAAAGAGAAGCTAATACTTCCCTGTGCTTTTTGACTGATGTTTTGTTGGGCTGTAGCTAAACAGCACTTTAGGTTGACAGTAAATTAGCAAACAATACGAGGCAGGAAAAAAGAAAAAAAATCATGTAGGGGTTAAGATGTTTATGTAAAACAGTGATTTTCCTTTTTAAAATTAAAATGTACAAATAAGCTGGTGTCAGAGCCCAGGTGATCCTTCATTTCCACCGCATTGAGCAGGCTCCCATCAGCAGCAGACAGCCGCTAATATATGCGTCTGGCTCAGTCTGCTCTACCAGCTAGGAACCCATCGAATTGTTAATATCAGTCCTTTTTTGTATGCACCACACATCTTTTTCACTCTCTCTCTCTTCCTCCCCCTTTGCAAGAGCTTGTGTTTTGGTTTTTTTTGTTTTTGTTGTAGCACAAGCTGATTACTCTGAAATCACATATTAAAGAGCATTTAAATGCATTTTGCACTGAAACAACATCAAGTCGTGTAGAAATATGTGATTCCTATAGATAGGAATATATTGAAATTCTGCACATAAATCTAAGCATAGCATACCAAATATGATGCTTTCTATTTATTTGTGCTAATAGAGACAGTTTTCATATCCTGTCAATGGGTAAATGGGACTGCTTCCTGCATGGTYTCTGCAGCCATTGTCATGTATTCCCAGGACACGGAAACACCTTGTGGATCTCGGCGGAGATTCTGGCTGAGTGAAGATCTTGCTTCTCCCTGCCCTCCATCCTCTGCCTCTTCCTTCCCTGTGTAGCTGAGGCTGGGGTGGCTGTGCTGAGGCTGGGGARGAAGAGGGAGCAGGAAAGGAGGAAGGCAGTGCACCAACTTTCCCATCACTGTGGCAAGGGGCAGCAGTGAGTACGATGGGCAGAGCGGAGCCACTGGAGTCATCCCAGTTCAAGCAGTAACGCACAGGCGGGACTGCACATTTACGGCTTTTGCTGGAGCACCAAATAAGCCAGGCAGGGGTTTCTAATTATTCATTTTCTTCTCACTCTCAATGCAGAGCAGAGCATAGTTGAAATCTTTAGACTGACAGAGACAAAACGTTTCACACCACAGTTTCACCTTCATTGTACATACAGTGTTAAACGCAAAATGAATTCATAGTGCTGAATGTTATCTATCCTCATTCAAGTAAATTTTGCTGATTGAAAACCAAATGCAATGACAATTTTAATATGCACAGATGGGTGCATCATACAGGTGATTAAATCTATAAGGATTTTTTATTTTGATAAATGCTACGCATAATTTAAATTTTATATTGACATGTATATACCAACACACAGTATAGTTTTATCTCATTATACAGCTTGAATGAACAGAATTTGTGTTCACCTGATCCGTATCTTAAATAATCTGTTTTCAGTATTGAAAACTGCTACAGAATATGTGTAAATTGCTAACAAAGTGCTTCAGGAGTGTAGCACCTATCTGGGTGTATTTGTCTTTCCTGTACACATTCACATCTACTTTTCCAATATTGCCTAAACAGAACTCAATGTTGAATATCCCGTCTGTGTTAAAARAGTTACCTCTGTATCTAAATTTTTGCAAGTAGCTCTTTTGGGTGTTCTTAGCATGTGGGATTGACAGTTTAGGAAGAAAAGAATTACATATTTACAGGAACTGTATCATCATTGTAATTGCTAAGGCAATATTTTTTATGACTATTTAAAGACTAATTATATCTTGAGCAACTTGAAAACTATGTACTGTGCATAGTTTCAGTCTCTTAAGAAAACAAGACAAGAAGAAAAAGTATTATACTAACAGATAAGAACAATTTATTTTAACAATAGTGTTGATGCTTACAATAAAACACAATTCCTCCCACACAAGTGGAAAAAATATACTGCGGCCAAAATACCACTTTTGAAATGAACAAATAGTTTAGATGCCTGATCTGTGTGAAGCTTTTGTTTCAGTGAAGTCTGATGTATCAACAAGGTCCTGCAGCATCTTGGTTAGACACAGAAAACAGAGAAAAATGACTCAGAACTAACTCACCTCTAAAATATTAAGAAATACAAATCAAATTATGTGTTGTAGATCAGAAGCCTGAGACAAACAAGCAGTGCAGAATAACTCATGTGCTGGTGAATCTTCTTATGCAAAGTCAATGAAGTACTTAACACAGGAGGGAAAAGCTAAAGCTCACACTGCTTTTTTTCAGAGGGGTAAAAAATACAAGAAGTGAGGAGGAAGTTAGAATTTGGGTCCGGTGTATTGTGGATTCACTTTAAATTGTGCAGGTACAAGAAATATGATGCTGAGTGCAAAGGGATGTTAATGCTGTATTATGATTTTTAAACCAACATTCTCCTTCAGACTAAAATGTAAATTAAATGAATGTTTTAAATGCCATATTGTGTTCTTACTTGGACAAAGAAAWAAGATGGCAAATAACTACAAAATATTATTTGTCCCATGGCACAGGAAAAGCTAAGCAACAGTTTTCCTGTAGACTGAAATCATTATTCAAACAATAGAATGAATGTTTTCTAGGCCTCAAACATCAGGGTTTATGTTTTATGTTTTAAAAGTCAATTAATGCTGTAATAGTAAGGATGAATATATACTTGGTGGTAATTACCAGAATTGTCTACAATAGTAGTAGTAGTAGTAGTAATATTATGATGGGAAGTGTTTTTTTATATTTTAGCATCTGTTTTGAGTGGGGGTTTTCTTGTTTTTGTTGTTTGGGGGGAGGTTTAGATGCAAACTAGCATTCAGGTTAAATTTTAATTCTAAATGTTGCATGACATTTAGTCCAGTTTTCTAAACATATAAATATGTAACATCCTAATGTTGCACAATGGGTAACAGTTTAGATTTTTTTTTTTTTCCTTTTAGGAACACTCCTGATGCTTAACATTTGAAACAGGTATATTTTCCTTTTTACCCTTCCAGGCAAGGAAAGCTCCTTTGGTTCTCTAAATTCTGCAGAGAAACAATCACAGTCCAAAGCTGCTGGTTCCCCTCCGCCTAGGTCCCAAGAGCCTGACTTGTGATTGTTGCTAAAAAACCTCACAAGTTAGGGTCTCAGGGACTAGGAAAAGTCCAATATGATCCAGTAGAATTCGTCTTCCAATAAACTGAATTGTTTAGTAGTCATAATCGCTGTCAGCAAAATTTCACAGCTAATGTTAAATAGAAAAAAAATCCAAAGCCAAAAAGAAACCCTAAAAACAACATCCCCCCCAAATCAACCACACCTCCTTCCCCCCAAATAAACAAACCACAGTTTCAAGTAGGGGGCAGAAAAGATCAAATAAGCAGGCAAGATGCATACATACATTCAAACAATGTATCAGCTGACCGAACAGACTTTTCTGAGAGTATAGTCCTTAACTTTTGAAAGGGGAAAACAAAGAACACAGGAGAAAAATCTTCACTGCCTCGTCTCGCAAGGAGCCATATTACTGTAAGGCATCAGAGAGAAGCGTCTACAAATGGGTTAAAATCTGCTTCCAGCAGATTTGTACAGTAACAATTTTATTCTATTTCCTTAATGCCTGAAAGAAGGATTAAATGCTTGGGGGTTCTAATTGAAATATTTCCCATTATACTTTTAGTCCTACTGTTCAGGTGGGCCCTGGGTTGCAGAGTACTTTAAACCCATTCACGATGCAAGGATAACCTTTGGGCGTGTGTTCACTTTTTGCCTCTTCCCCACGTTCAACATTTAATCCTTCTACAGACTGCTAGAAAAAGCTTCTTCCTTTCCAGTGGCAAAGCTAGCTTTCGCTCCACAAGCTGCAGAAAACATTGACATGCAGAGGCTGTTGTCACTTGAACCAGATTACTCAAAGCACACATAACTTTCAAATACTGTMGATACAGTAAGAAGAAATGCTCGGATTTCCCAAATAATTTTGTTCTGAAGCCGAACACTTTTAATGGCACGACCACAATCCTGAAATACTTTTGCATTCATTCTCCTCCGATCTTTAGCCTTGTTTGCAGAATGAAAAAGAAAATTTCTACTTTAGGGACAGGATCCATCGTGGCTTTTTTTTTTTTTTTTCCCTCCATCAGATCCCAGAGCAAAAGAAACAGCAGTCATAAAGGTCCTAGCCACTGGAGCAGAATCTGGCATAGAAAACTCAGTGCTCTTCGGGAAGCCGTTCAGCTTTAAAAAGGAAAAAAAAAAGAGAAGGGGGGGAAGAATTAGAATCTCTGCTGGTCGAACAGGTGAACCATCCATTTACAAGAAAGCTGTACACAGCACTCTGCCGAATAAAAGATTTGCCAGTGCCCCCCACCCCCACCCCTGCCCTTCACCCTCCCCTCCAGACTCACACTTCAGATTTCAGAACATTTTGGATTATTTAAAATATTATTTCAGCTGATGATATAATGCAACATTACATAAGAGCCGTTTCTTTGTCACTGTGCACCATTCAATCAGTTATGCCTCAGACACAAAATAGTTAAATGAAACAAAATATATATATGAGAGAGATATATATGTATAGCAGTCCCTAGATTTCATTCAATTTCTTTTTTTAAAGCTGATCATGATTTAACAAACAATTTTGACCACAGCTTTCAAATCAATAATTAGAATGAAAAATCTCTCCCCTCTATAAATATGACATTAACATAATTATACCACCCCCATCGCATAGACCCATCCTCTTTAGGGAATACATCTGATGCTCTGAAGATGGAAATCAGTCAGATTTTAGTTGCTCTCGAACGTACCTTTGCTTCTCACTGACTGACTGGCTTTACCTTCCATGCACACACACGGTCAGAGCACACACGCGCACACACACACATGCGCACACACACACACACACGCACAGAAAGGCACGGCAAAGCAGCGGATGCTGACTCAGAGCAGTTGTGTGTGGAGGGGGTGGTATCGGCTGGTATTTTCACTGCACTCATCATTAACATTAACTCACTCTCTAGCATCCACCCTCTCTCAGACCTGCTGGACTGCAGCATTTGCATGACGCTGTCACTCTAGCCCTTGTGGGTCAGATGTTAGAAGAAAAAAAAAAAAACAGAAAACCTCAAGGCTCTCATAAGGAATGCCTTCATTTCTTCCAAAGGGTCCCTCTTCTTATTTTTCCACCTTTCTACTTCCTCTGTTGCTGTGTCTCAGTTGTTTGACATCTTTCCGGAAGAAAATGTCTTGAGCTGCAATAAGCCAGTAGTCAGTCGGTCCTCCCCTCACCTCACACTCCTATTCCCACCCCCTTTTTTTCCTAATCAATAAGACAGATCTCCAAATGCAGTTGTGAAAACAGGCTCTGACACACAGACTTTCATCCTCGATCCTCTGCCTCAGGAATAGCAGGCAACCCAGGCTCACACGTGATGTAGAGAGAAATAATGCCAGTAATTCTTGAACAGTCTTAGGAGTTTATTCTACGCCTTCTTCATTTTTTCCTTTGCTCGAATAAATACCAGTGGGAAGGACACACTAGCTCTCAAAAGCTACAAGGATTCACTTCTTCAGAAAATAATGAACATTAAAAGACTAATATTAATCTTCCTCAAAATTAATGCTATCTTCTCCCCACCCCCCCCCTGCCCCCCCCATTCATTGTACTCTTTATAAGTAGGAATTGTCTCATAGCCAAAACCCTGCCAGGGTTTGAATCACCATTCACTGTGCTGAAATCGTGAGTTTCTGGGCTTCAATTGGCATTTAACCGGACTAAGCACATTTTTTCCTCCTTTTTCTTTCTTTTATTTTAGACTTCTCAGTTAAAATAAAATAAAAAAATAGAAGCTGCTTGCGTCAGAGGGAGCACTGCAAGAGAACAATGGCAATACACCCGGCACGACCACACTGAGCACTGAAAATGCACGTTTGAGCCACACTTGTGGATTTTTCTGTACGGTATTTGCTCCGTTTTGGTGGAGAAGTCTGAACACAAACACGTACACCGAATACACACACGGAGAAACTCAAGACGTGTACAGAAAACACACGACACAAAACAAAGCACAAAGGCTGATAACCGAAACACAGGCACAAGTTGTCTGACAGGCTATGAAAATCCACAGAGCATAATTATTGTGTGCATTTTTACCTTGTTCCTTTGTTCTTAAGGCAAGGGACTTTAATGGCTTACGGTGTTGCCAGTCTTTCGGCTTTTCCCTTTTTTTTACGCCAACAGTATTTGGGAATTACTTTTCCAGACAATACCACGCCACTGTGATTCGCGGTATAGAAATTATTTACCGGGGTGGGGGGGGACAGGTGACACGCAATTCACCAGCCAATTCTCAGAGCTGCCTGGTGCCGTGGAAGCCCTCGGCAGGTCCCAGGATGCAGCGCTGCAGTCCCGGCTCAGGTAGCCTTTTGGCAACCTTATGGCAGCAGCGGTGAACGGGAAGGGCATCCACTGGCGGGGAAGGTCCAAAAGAAAACGTAGCGCAGCCCCAAGGCAAAGGAAGGAAGCCAAAACGCCGGGTACACGCCCTGAGCCCGGTTAGCGCGCTCTTGGGACTGGTCGTGGCGATGGTGATTGATTTCTTAGGAAAGTAGACAATTAGGAAACAGTTAAGTTTGTAATCTCGGAGAAAGGGAGAGACGGAGACAGACACACACCCACAGACAGAGAGCGAGCGAAGAACGCCAAGCATGAGACAACAAAAACAAGACCGAAATCAGATTTGGGAAACTGAAAAAATACACGATTACAGCATTCAGCTTAGCATTTACTGAGGTATATATATATAAAAAAAAAAAAAATTAGCACATGCACAGCATGGCTTAAAATACTTATTGCCATCAACAGCCTGTGTCGGATGCCAGCTTCTTACTGCTATACGTACATTAGATTGGTCATCGCCTCTTAATCTCCTTTTGCTCAGACCCATCCATTTTTTGCTGCTCCAGCATCTGTGCCCTTTATGCTTTTTTTCTGTATAGTTACCCACAATACCCTGGATAAATTAATGTCATGACCTCGCTGTGGCTATCAGACAGAAAAAAAAGTCTACTATTTTAATAATTGAACGTGCGCGTACAGCAAACTGCCTACTGATAGCCCAGCTTTGTGGACTGCCTCCAAAAGCAGCCTATGCTAGCTCTGCGAATCAGAGACAACAGATGCAAATACTGGCCACAGAGCCCCGGCTCTCTGCCCTGCCTTTTTTTTTTTTTTTTTTTTTAAATCCACCCTTTTCATCCTGTGCCACTTCATTTTCCCTGTGCTTGTCTCCTCAATGGTTAAAAACATTAGCCTGATGAAATTAGAAGCTTCTGAATAAAAGGATGAAGATGAACGAAAATTATAAATGGTTGCAGATTCTGGAAATTTATATCCAGACAGTGAGTAGGGAAGAGTACCCAGGTTCAAGTGCTGAGCCTCACTCGGGAGCACCTCTGGGGCCAATGGGACTGCAGACTAGATTAAATCAATAGTCGTCTGAAACGAGATGTCGTAATCAATCAGCTCAATTACCACTGTCATAGATCTGGGCTTAAGGTCTTTCCTGATTCCRCTCTTCTAATCATTAACCCTTATACATCCTCGTAATAGGAACTCAAACTTTCTCTGCTGCCCTACCTTCAGACCGTCAAAGTTTAACTTAGCATTTTCCCCTCTTTTTTCCTTCCCCTATTTAAATCATATAAGAGTGGGTCAGCAAGAAATGTTTTAAATGCGAATGTGGTGAGATTAGATGCACTCCTTTAAGTGTACCTATTATATATGTGCTGCTGTGCACTTATATATTATTATTATGCCTCCGGGAGTGGCTGGGTGGATCAAAGACTGCTGTTTAATTAACATTCAACTGAGCTGTTTCCTTGGAGATTAAAAATAGAAGACTAGTTGAATTAAACTGAAGCTGTTCACTCCTTTCACTAATCCAATATTACARAACCCTCCTCCCCTCAACCTAGTTAGAAACAACTCATTTCTGGTTAATCAGCCACCAGGAAAATCCATTTTCAGTTTGAAGGTAAGTGTGAAAAAGTTGGAAAGACAGTTTTGTGTGCACGTCTGAATTTCACGGATTTGCCCATCATTTACATTTTGCATCCACAGTACAGTAAATCCTCATGCAATGCAAGGAGAAAAGAACCATCAGGCTTGACTATGAGCAGAACCACTTTAAATTCTTGCCTGTAATTATTATTCACTGTATGAAGATTAAATGTCAACCATTAAACTTTTTTTTTTCTATTTTTTTTTTTAATTCCTGTGCAGGAGAAGATCTAAGAGCTTTTCATAAAAATGCTCCAGCAATTCTCACATATCCTTCTCTCACCTTTTCAGGAGGAAAGAAAGACTCCAGGTAGCAGGCATCCACAATTTAGGTCTCTTAWGTCTGATTTATTCTGTTAGACTTAAATAAAAATAGCGAAGGAAAACCCTGCTACATTTACACTTACATCACTGCCTGTACACACTGCCTCTGTTTTCAAGCAGAACCACACCTTTTTTAACCATGGATCTGCTTCTCAGCTGGAAAGACTGAGSGTACAGCCCCAGTCCGGGCAACACTGAGATTACCAAATAGCAGAATTAGCTGTGGCAATGGTATTTTGGGAAGGAATTTGTGCTCCTAGCGATGTTAGTASTGGGTATGGGATGGGAGCAGCAAATAGGGGTCTCACAGCAACGTCTGGGGTCGGGGGTCTGTCTGGGCAGGGCTCCATGCTGTCCTAGACAGGTTATAATTGGCAATCGATTGCTGCATTTAATGACCCGGCTGTTTTCATTAGCAGAAATGTAAAAAATTGGTCTCGAAAATGATTCAGCTGCTAGCATAGGTGCTTTTAAACAGGCTTATACCTCAGCCAGGAACAGCTTGGTTACAGTCACTGACCCCTCACAGATGGAAAAAAAATGACCTCAGCTTTGCCTCTTTTCTGGGAAAGCTTTAGCTGGCAGGGGGATGAGAAACAAAAAGAACCTTAATTTTGTCCTTTAGTAATGTTAAATGAATGCACTGCAGCAGACACCACCTTAAACTGGCTGAAGGGCAYTGCTCAGTTTCGCAGGCAGCAGCTCAGACTGTGAGCAGCATCCACAAGGGGACAGCATCCACATCCACACTGGAAAGATGCAGTTTGTGTCTGCGAGGAACAGAAAGGGGAGCAGCCATTGCTGAGAGCACCCAAAAATTAAAAAAAAAAAAAAAAAAAAAAAAAAG